AAAATAATGACAAAAAACAAAATACTACACAAAAGAAATAAGAAAATTCAAACACAATAAAATATTTTTATCTTATTTTAGACAAAATGGTCCAACAACTCAATCATTACTTCAACTATATATATTCCCTTATTTTAAAAATATTTCTCTCAAATTTCAAAAACAAAAGAGATATCAAAATCCAAACACAATAAAGTATTTTTTGTTTTTATAAAATTATAACAATAAAAATAATACTTGAAATAAATGTTTTTAATCTTAAAGTAGTTTTACACAATTTTCAAATATAAATCAGTTTAAATTGATCTTAAAAAATAATATAGAATGCAACAATTTTATAAAGTTTGATAAAATAGACTTAAAATTTATAAAAAGTTATTGAAAGTTTCATTTAATAATAACTATAAATAAACTTATATATATATATTTGCAAACTTATATATAAAAGATTAAAAAAAATAAACTACTATATATGTTTGCAAACCTAAATTATGGATATTACTCTCAAATTACATGTATGTATTTTCTTTTCAAATGAAATATATATTTGTCTATATAATTAATTTATATTATTTTCTCTATTATAATTCACAAAAAAAATTATAATATAAATTTAATAATCATATTTTATCAAAACCAATTTTTAATATATTTAAAATTCAATAAAAAAATGAACAAACTAATTTATAACTGCACATCGCACGGGTCTTAATTTAATTGTTATTAATTTTTTACAACACGAATCGACCACGCCATGAAAGTGCATCCAACACATCTATTTCTATCTCTTAAATCAACTTCATTAAATTATCATGCGACACTTCAACTATTTTTTATGTGGTATCTCTCAAACTCCATGTTAAATTTTTTTAAAAATAAAATATTTTGTTATCTCAATAGAAAATCATGAATTTGAATCCCAACAAATACAAAAAATACAATAATTTAATATTTAATTATTATTAACTTTCATTATTTCAAAAAATATCATATTCATTTACTAATAATAATTTTTTTTAAACAATAGACAAATATAATTAAATATTTATTAAATCTCAACAAATCATTTTTTAACATAAAGCTAATTTTAAAATTAATTTACTTACATATATCATTTTCAAAAACTTTATAGAATATTATTCATATTTATCTTACAATAACTTGATACATTTTATTTATTTAGTATCTCTAAAATAATTTCAGAATCTTTCAATTTTACAATAATAAATGAAATAGTACTTCTTCATCATATATTTTATAATAAATATATTATTTAAAAACGAAATTGGATTGTGTTTAATTTTAAAATTATATTGCGAAAATCAAATATATATTTTTCTTGTATATTGATAAATAGTTTGGAGTTCAATATTTTACAATAATTCATTCTTATTTTAAATAATATTCGAAAGAAAGAAATTCTTGATCATTTTAACTAAATGTCCTAACAACACAATAATTATCCAATTAAATATATTTTTTTTAAATTTCAAAAATAAAAAGAGATGTTTAAATCTACACACTTTAAAATGATTTTCGTTTTCTTGAAATCATAGTAACAAAAGCAATAATTAAAAAATACTATAAATATTAAAGTATATATTTCATAATTTTTAAGGCTAAATAAATATAATATAGAATATCACACTCTTTACCGAATCTATATATTTTATGTCTTCGTTTTTCTTATAACAATAATTTCAATTCATAATTATCAAAATTGAAGAAAATATATTTTGACAATTTTTTAATTTAGTGTCTCTAAAATAATTTCAAAATCTTTCAATTTTTTAAAAATAAATGAGACATTACTTTTCATCATATATTTTACAATAAATATACTATTATTTAAAGACCATATTGGATTTAACGGTTTGGTTTTAAAATCACATTACAAAAATTTAAATATCATACAATAACTATATTATTTTCTTGCATATTGATAAATAATTTGGAGTTCAAATCGTTATAATAATTCATCTTTATTTTAAAGAATATTTGAAAGAATAAGATTCTTGATCATTTTTAACTAAATGTTTTAACAACACAACAATTAGTTCAATTTAATATATTCTTTAAAATTTTAAAAATAAAAGAGATGCTCGGATCCACACAAAACAATACTTAAAAAATACTTTTAATGTTAAAGAATATGTTTTACAATTTTTTTAAGTTAAATTACTCTCAGTTGATCTAGAAATATAATAGAGACTAAAATACTCTTTACCGAATCTATATGTTTCATCTATATGTTTTTCTTAAATATCAGAAAAAAGTTAAAGACAAATAAAAAAATTCTCGATTTCTCACCTATAATTAAAATTTGACGTTATAGACATAAATTTCTAAAACTATTGAATATTTCAATTGTAATAATTAAAATAAAATATTATTTTATTTAAGACAAAATAATTGCATATCTTTAACATCTTATAATTAAATATCTAAAAGAGAGATCATTTAAAAAAAAAAACAGATTAGAATAAAATAAAATATAATCCATTAGTGATATCTTTTAAAATTATTTAAATTTATAAAATAAAATCTTGTGACACTTTCAATTTACAAAAATACATTTTCTTTTCTTTCAAATAAAATATATTTTTTTATTTGTGATTAATTCATATTATTATCTCAATTATAATTTATAATAAATTTTTATAATATAAATTTGCTTCTCATATTTACTAAATTAAAATTTTTAAACAAAAATTAATTAACAACCTTACATTACGCGGTTAATCTAATTGTTATTAAATTTTGACACTAGAGACAAATTTATTCATGTCATTAAGGAGCAAGTGCCCCCACTAACTTTTCATTCATTTGCGATTAATTTCTTAATAAAATATATAATTATTAATGCATTGAAACTTATATATATATATATATATATATATATATATATATATATATATATATATATATATATATATATATATATATATATATATATATATATATATATATATATATATATATATATATATATATATTATATTTTTTTATTTATTTTTAGTTCATCAAGTAGATCAAACCAATATTTTAAAAATCAAATCAAATCAGTAGTCGAATTGCTTGAATTGATAATCGAATGAATTATTTGTCCGGTCTGATTGTTGGACTAAATATATTATTGAATCAATGGGAATCAACCATAATCAACTAAAATTGATAAAAATCGACAGATCAAACGTTTGGAAAATCGACGATTTAAATGTATGTGTTTTTTCTCAGACAAAACAATGTCGTTTTGATAAAAAAAATTAGAAAAATTAAAATATAAATAGACTTTGTTTAAAAATTATTTAGAACAACTTTCTCTCATTTATAATTAGACCTTATTCAAAATTTATTTGAATTTGTATCTTCTTGTATTTTATTGTGTTTAGAATTTAAATTTAAAGAATAAATTTGTGAAATTATGATATTTTAAAATTTTGAAGTTTTATAAGTGTCATGATAGTTTTTAGAGAGTGAGTTATCAGGTTCGACTGATTTAATACATGTTCTGGACTGGGCCCGACAGGCCCAAAAGTATTACTAAGGCCCAGTCCAAAGGGACTCACTAAGGACCACACTGGGAAAAGGGGGACACGTCCATGCCCGACACCCTGATGTCCACCTCGACATCCCGATGTCCAACCCACGCGGTGAAGTCGTGCTCGACACCCTGCCGTCAGCTCCATGTCCTGGCGTCCAGCTCGACACCCGCCGTCCAGCTCGGGCCCTGGCGTCGAGCTCAGCACCGTGCTGCCCAGCTCGACATGGGCCCGAGCTACCCGGCTAGGGCAGACTCAGTCCACCGTTCCCCCAACGATACTCCGGAAAGACCGCGTCTCCGTCCGCCCGCACTTCACGCAGCACATCCAGGAAGGGGACCACGTGCGGGTCCCCACTACCCACGTAGAACCTGGCAGTTCCTCCATTGGGCCAAATCCGCCCAGCCCAACGAAGGAACCTTGGCCCAGCGCTGGGGGCTATAAATACCCTCTGTTTCCAGAGGGTCAGGTATTCATCATTCTAACCTCAACTCTATTATCTGCTCGTACTCCCACTGACTTTAGCATCGGAGTGCCTTGCAGGTACCCCCCTCCTCGTTCAAAAAGCTTTCAGCTCGGAGTAAGCCGTGACGGTCCAAACCTTCTGATCAGGTCAGATCAATACATATATAATTTTATTATAGAGACCGATTTAGTCATACAATTCTATCAATGACCTAGTGGTTCAACCAATAAACTAGTAGAGATGCATCTCCAAATATATTCAAATATCATACGATGCATCTCCAAATATATTCAAATATCATACAGAGATGCATCTCCGAACCATATTGTGTTCAAAATGAATAGATATCAAAAAGTCAAAAATTTGTGTGATTTTGGACACATCCTAATAAGAATCACCAGACGACATGAAAGAATATTTTTGAATTTTCAAGAGACTGAAATGCGTGCATAAGAGTGGAAAGAATATTCTCCTAAAAGAAAAGATAATTAACCAACCAAACAAAAAACAATCTCAGCATATGCAATGCCTTATATACAGCATTATCAAAAAGCCAATACTAATGTTGCATAGGTATTACAATACATCTCACAAGTCACTCCCATCATCTGTACTAAAAGATAATATCCTCAAAATGTATCAAAATAAAAGCAATTAAATTTGCAACACAGGAAAAGTATAAATGGATTTGATAAAGCCAACAAACAAAAAAACTTTAGCTTCTATATATCATTTACACAGTTTCCTTTGTCTCTATTTTGAGCCAGGGCAATCACTATTACATTATCAAGATTAAAAATCCAAATGTGCTGAACTGTCATACTTCTCTCTTCTTTTTTTGCTGTATCTTTGCTAGGATATACTTTAACTTAAGCCCTAGCACAGCCACATTCGTCACATCCCTCCCTAACTATGTTTGCTTTTTCTATAACATCATTCCCAGCCTTTGAAGTTTATATTCCTTTCCCTTATTTCTTTCCCCCTTTTTAAGACTAATCATCCCAGTTATCTTCCCATCCATCTTTGTTTAAAGATCTAGCAGTAAGGCCATTTGCTGAGATGCTTCCTGCATGGCGAACTGATGGCGATTTCACCGCTACGTTGTCGTCCCAATCATCGTCCCAAACTTGATCCCAACCTTCAGCAGATTCCATATTGGTAGCTGCAGCAGACTCGGGCAATGCCATTTCGAGCTCTTGATATGGGATCTCGTCGCGATGTTTCTTCCTGAACATGCAGCAAGCACATATACCTCCAAAGACTAATACTGCGAATATGAGGAAATAGGCGCCATTTATTGGCGTTAAAATCTTGTCATAAGAAGGAAAGTGCAGAAAATAACTCTCAGGTATGGGAGTAGCCGTGTGAAGCACACAATCCCCTTTTCCAGCATCCAAAGTCAGTTGGGTATTTTCGCTATGAATTCGTTTGATAGTGACCTGAAAAACAAGATTACAAAACGGTAAGCCAACCACAAATATGACATGGAATCAAAACTATAGAAAGAAGATTTTGGTCATTAATGTATTTGTCAAGAATGATGAAACTTACGAAACCAATCATCTAACAAAACAGAGCACAAGCTTGACCAGATGATGCTTTTCACAGAAAATACAAATAAATGGAGGTTGGCAGAACAGAGGTTAGACTACGAAAACAAAAAGTGGGTGTTTTTGTTTGTCAAAATAGAGGTAACACAAAATGTGAAGTCTCTAAATAGAAATCATATAATGATTCTGATGAAAAAACACAAGAAGTCATGAGAATCGAAAGGGTGGATGCCGGGAATGTACAATTTCTTCTCGAGTATGTCATAGAGCCTCATGGGGTTGGAGTGATGTATTTTTTACTATTTTTAGTAGTAACTTGTATTTGGCCTAAAGGTCCATTAGTCAGGCCCATTAGGTTAGAGTAGCTCATATAAACAGATTAGTGTTTGTACATCTTTCATACTTGAAGTATAATATTTTCTAATATTCACAAACACACCAGTAGTTACTGCAAACATCACCACATTCTAATCGGCCACCAATGTCCCGTTAAAATCAAGCCTCCTTGTTGTTAACGTTGTCTTCATCGTCTTCATATTTGTTGTTCTAAACTAACTTTTAATAATATATGAATATATCTGATGGTCATTAATATATTGTTCCCAAGCAAAAAAACCATTACTTAGAGTTCAAAGGTGAACCAGATCTGATGACATAAGCCTTAAAATCACCAAACATGCGGGGATGGAAAACCCATAAAGGGGGTTTCACTGGATAGAGGCCCGGAGATTGCAATAATGTGATGCAATGAACAACTAACTTGTACTGGACTGGCCATGATAGACATTTCAGCTCTATAGCATGCCATTGACTAATTAGTTTGGATGGATTATAGTAGTTGAAACTTTAAAGAAGGAAAACAAATGAAAGGATAAGTTTCTTAGGAACACAATACTTTCAGCTCTATAATTATAAAAAGAGGTAAAAGATGTAAGATTATTTGATTGTAGTCCCTACAACATAAAAATTGTGTGCTTTTTAGACCCTGACAAGGGAAGTAGAACATAATATTTTTGTTAAATCTAGGGACTAAAACTGATTAACAATCATCATGACTTTTCCATTCTGTCATTACTTTGTTACATTTCTTTCCGTTCATAAAAAGATGAATTGTAAGATTCTGAAATTTCTATCTCAGTTAATCCTAGAAATGATGAAATTGTTCAAGGACCATATATTGCTCATTTAAACTTTGATTTTTGCTGACAATTTTAAGAGATGACGTTTTGTTTAATCAAATTAATGCTAAGTTTCTGTTGTCTGTGACTGTCTCACAAAATAAACAATTATTTGAGACATTGGCGAATCTCAGATACTTCTGCTTCACTTTGAAGTGTGAGGGTGCGAAGAAGAAGAGGTACGTCGACACAAAAATATGATTATCAAGTAGAAGAAATAAAGCCAGCTTAAGATAAAATGGCTAATACCTTTTCTGTTTTATTCTTGTCAACTTCTACATCTCCAAGGTTACTTTCATAATCACTGCGAAGCTTCACTTTGATGGAGCCATCCCCTTTATTTCGAAGGAGAACAACTAAGTTTTTGGAATCTGACAATTTGTACAACGGAATATAAATGCAAATTAGTTCATTTTGTTGACAAAAAGTAATACAACAGACCTGAATAATTGACCCAATATTTTTGTTATATCAGTTAGGAGGTTTTTCCAGCACCCTTCCTATTTGCAGGGTATGCCAACAATTAGTTGTTAGTATTTCCCACGTTGAATTATAAACACATTAATTTATTTCATATTTATAGTCTAAAATGATTCTCACGGCTAAATTTTAGCTACAAATTGCTAAAGTTAGTTTTTTTTCCCGAGAATTTGGTATCCAGCCTTGCGACCGACTAATCAAAGGGGACTAATCCCACCGTCCAATTGCGGGTCCCCCATTTAAAGCCAAAGCAAAGCTCTGTATGGTCTGCTCCAACAGAGGAATTGTTATCACCTAGCAGAATTCAAACCTGAGACCTTGATAGGAGCACACTCTCAAGACCCAAGCCTTCACCAACGAGCGAACCGCTGAGGTTAAATTGCTAAAGTTACTAGTACACTAATAAAAACATAAGTAGAGAAGGAATCTCTTGTCAATAAGCAGAATTGCATGCTTTGCTTTTTCACATGCTGATTAATCCAACGCACATAACAGTGCTAGTTTGAAAAGAAAGCTGGATCACCAAACTGATCGGTTCAGTAGATGAACTACAAACTAACCCCATATAGAAGTTTAGTGTTCATCGCATAAGTAATTATTTTATTTTTTAAAACAAGACAAATATTCCCTCCATTCCTAAGTTTTGGTAGTTTAATAGGCATTTCAGTTGTTTCAAAACTCTGGATGTTTCACAAACCCAAAATATGATTGACCTTCTTATTCCAACTATATCCCAAGGTTAAAATTTGTAACTCGGTTAATGATGGGAATAAGGATATATTACTATTAGTACATTAAAACTGTGGTTCTTCTCAAGCTCATAGGAACTAGTGTAGTTCCTGTAAGTTGTAACACTTGAAAACAATTCCTGTAACTAACTGACAGTTGTCAGTTAGTTATACTCTGCTAGCCTCGTATAAATAGCTTTTTTTTTAACAGCTCATATAAATAGTTTGAACACTGATTGTAATAACTTTAATATAAAAATACAAGAAATTCAGATTTATTATTCAATAGATTCTCTTAAGATCACAGTACCTTAGATTCATGGTTTCTACTATGGTATCAGAATTTGATTTATCAAAAACAAAAATAAAAATAGAAACTATGAATCTAAGGAACTAAGAGTAAATCTCAATTTGTTTGTATTTTGATTATATGAAAGTTACAATTAGTGTTCAAGCTATATGTGTGTCATGTGAGGTTGGAAGAATATAATTAACTGAAACCTGTCAATTAGTTAGCTACAGTGACGGACACTAGTCTGTCAGTTAGTTACACTTAGTTACAAGGGTTGTTATCAATTGTTATACTAACTCCTATGAGATTGAGTAAAACTACTACTTTAATATGGTACAATACACGTCAATTAAGTGATTTCTAAATTGATGTGCAAATACCTCAAACTAGCAAAATTTCGGAATGGAAGGAGTAGATTCATAACAATCCACTACTAGGGTAACTGAGCATGTCAGTTACTTTTCTGTTAAGCCGTTATGACAGCTTTCAGTTAGTTTGTTAAATTACATAGCAACATCTCTTCACTATAAATGTACAATTAAAGATCACTCAGAAATCCCTATGAGAACACTGTTCTTCTACTTTCTCTTAGATTCTTGCATTTTCTCACACTCAATTTCTAGCCCCCACCAATCCTATACTACGCCAATTAAAAAGATTTTTTTAAATAATTTTTTGTTTAGAACAATAGGCCATTTAATTCTATAAATGATACATGGGGAAACAAGAATAACAAAATATATCAAAAAATAGAAGAAAAGAAAAAGTAAGATGATCAGAATCAATGTAGTTAAGCAACTAGATCAGTTGACAAAATATAGATTAAATTGCATAGATATTAAATGCCTAGTTTTGTCTACAAGCAGCTGCTTGACTCGGATATTTATCACTACAGAGAAGGACAATACAACCAAGGATATTTATCAGCACAAACAGGAGGATAATGCAAAGCAAAAAGAGGACAAAAGATACAACAAAAACACCGGGTGCTCCATACCATAAAGAAATCAAATTCCTAATCTTGTCTAAAATAACTATTTAAATAAAGAGAAATCCTTAAAAATGACAAGGTTCACTCTACCAACATGCACAATAGTTTTAGCAAATATTACACAATGCCACCCAAAGTTGGCTTCTTCACTTCTACCAAGACGGAAAGAGCTTGAAACAGAAGAAATTCTACAATCATAATAATAATGATAAGCAATTCCATAATAAACTATCTTTCAATCAATAGTATTTCCATACGGTAAGTAACTTAATGCCAGTATCTATAAAATGTATTACTAGAGAACTCAATTGTTCAGTTCAAAACAAAACAATCACAATAAGATTTTAAAAATTCAAAAATTACCATAACAAAGAAACTTAAATACACAAATTTCACAAAATGGAATAATAAGAAAAAATGAAGTACCACGTGTACCCGGTGCGGGTACTTCACCATTTCAGAAATACGCATGCTTCATAGGCCAGCATTCATTTTTTAACCACGCTTAATTTACTCACAACTGTTTCATCTAAATCGGAACAGTCAACTGTCTTGGCACTGCTGATTGGCAAAACTATCATCTCACGAGAATTAAAGACCCTCCAAGTTTTAAGGAGTTTAACACTGTCTTCTTGAACTAAGCAAACATTTGTCCGAGAAGCATTTTCTCAGTGGTTTCTACATCAGTAATTCCTTTTAGAATATATATATATATATATTCATCTTCTACAAGTTACTGCATGACCAGATCCACATTTATGAAACCTAGAGCAGATTTTGATGAATTTTATGATTTGTTTGCTTTTGATATGTTCTCATGTATGACGGCCTCGTTAATCTTGTGATTCGTTTGCTTTTGATATTTATCTTGTAAGTTGATTGATTGATAGTCTTTACACTAGCGGCTATCCCGCTATCAGCTATGCTGCTATAGCATTTTAGGGGGCTAGTGCTACGCGGCAATATCTAGATTAACAATGTACTAGCCATACGTGTATCTATGCATCATAAGAAACCAATATAATGTGTCATGAATTCTGGCTTGATGCCTTTCTCATTGCATTTGATACTATATATAATAGTGTCGGTAATTACAACTCATAATGACTAATTACAACTTATAATGGCAATTTCCTATTCTATGAATGTAAATTATTCACAATAAATGTGTTTGATTATTTCCTGATTAACATAATGAACTAAGATACTCTAACATAATATAGATATTATAAGATGTTATATTACACTCTAACATGGTATAAAACCATGTTAAACTAGAGCTGAACAAATCTAACCAAACCATTGAGCTAAGTATTGTACACTAACTTTTACTTCAAGTTTCCATTAGAGATTCAACTTACCCAACATAACTTCACTAAAACTAATAACAAAAAATTAACTACTAAACATCTAGCTCCGTTGGCAAGCTAAAGGACACCGGGTTTTAAGCTTGAAGGTGTGGATTCAAACCTTAGAAACTAACATAATCACTAACAAAGTATACTATAAATAAACAAACCATTGATTAAAGCAAAGTTGAATACCCTTATTAGAAATGCAAGCAGCCATGACCCCGTCGTCTGTGCAAGTATTTAGTCCTTCACAAGTGTCATTTGTTGTAGAATGCGAAAATTTAACCTCTTCCTCTTTAACCTTCTTTTCTTCCTGATCCTTCCCCCCATCAACCCCATCTTCAGTTTTTTTGGGTACAGGAGGCGGCGCAGTTGCAGGAACATGAGGAGGAGGTGCAGTTACAGGAACAGGAACAGGAGGAGGTGGTGGTGTAGTAACAGTAACAGGAACAGGAACAGGAGGAGGTGGTGGTGTAGTAGCAGTAACAGGAACAGAAACAGGAGGTGTAATAGTATTAACAGGGACAGGAGGAGGTGTAATACTAGTACTACTGTTCTCCTTTTGATTTACATCACGGTTATTCACATTCTCCACTTTAGGTAAAGATTGTGGCGGTGGAACTGATGAAACATTAGCATCAATTTCTTTCTTTTTCTCTTCACCAACTTTGTTGTTTAGATCTGGAGAATCCTAAAACCATAACTTCATTCAACCATTGTAAGCAAAATAATAACAATAACAACAATTGAAGAAATTCAAAAAAAGGAAACTTTTTTAATTAAAAAAACTCACCTTTATTGGTATTGAATCAATCAACTTTCTAACAAAAGAAGATTCAACACCATGAAACACGATTAGAGAAAACAATAATAGTTTCAGTAACGTGTGTCTTCCCATTGTGATGCAGTTCCAATACGTTCAAGTTCACGTGGCAGAGGCAAATTGAGAAGAAACGATACAGAAAGTGAAATCAAGAGAAACCCTTTGGCGAGAAAATGGATTGAAGATTGAAAAGAACAAATTCTGAAGGTGTGGGGTTGTGATTATGAGGAAGAAATGGTTGTTGGGATTGAAAATTGGGAAATGTGTGGAATCTTGTTGTTGTGGAAATTTGGATTGTGATGGAAAGTTTCTGAATTGGGATTGATTAGGAGAAGGAGAAAACGAAGAAGACTTGACGCAAGTCTGCTTCCAGAGAGATACACTGTTTCTTTCTCGTTAAACGAAAACGAAGAACTGGTAAACGAGAGCAATCTGGGCCGGGTTTGCGTGGAATGGGCCTTGCTTTTGGGATTCAATGTGGGGATGTATATTTCTGGGATGCGGAATTCTTTAAATGTCTCTTACAATCGGAAGTATGTTTCTGGTACGCATTAAAATTTGATAAATTATATATTAGAATTAGAATTTAATTTTCGGTTTTGATCCGGAGAACTAATTTCAATTTTGTGCTACACAGAAATTAGAAAAACATCATTGAATAACAACAATATCACAAACTCAAAATACAATCCATAACATAAACATAAGAAATACATTAAGGATTTTAACATAAATCAAACATTACAAATCAATGTTTATGCGGACGTTGCAACATCATGATAATATCATGGACCGATCTTGAAATAGTTGCATCTAGCTCGATCAAAATTTTTTCCTCAAAATTGGTAAAAAGTATTCCACATAGCCTGTATATCAGCATTGTTCTTCAGCTCACATTGATGAACACAAGCTTCTCATCTTTGTCAACAGATGGCGAGTGGTACTCGATCTTCACAACTTTGCGATTGTCGTCAAAAGGTACAAGTTCCTGTAATATTTCACGTACATCTTCAATTGGGGTGTACTTGGTGAACTTAAATTCGTGTGATGTTGTAGCGCCAGTAAAGTGAATAACTCCAAACATGTCATTTGATGTTCATTTTTGGTTTATGGTGTTGTGGTACGAAACAATATGACAAGTGAGGTTATTTATAGTTGGAGGCAAACATGAACCATACAAATCTTATTCATGTGTCACAGTTGAAACTGGAATTCCACTTCCGGTTTCATATAATTTGGAACCGGAAATATATTTTCAGTTAGTCCCCTGGGAGTGAAAAACCAAAAACAGAACATAAACGGCAACTCATTCAAATATTGTATTTTGGTCAAACTACAAAAATTGCTATATTTCCACATCATAATACATGAACAAAATGACATTTACAATAAAATAATACCTAACTACTTAAATGAGCCGAAAAAGTTGTCGCCGACCAAATCCACCAGTGGCATCCCTTTTGACTTTTCTCTATTTTTTCTATTTCAATTTTGTTCAACTTGTTGTATTCTTGCATCCTTTCAATGAATTGGTCCAGCCAGGTCGCAGATGGGATTGTGAAATGAATCGCCCACTCTAGTGATGTATGTGGTATAGGGCATCCCGTTTCAAATACACTTGAACAAAATGTTACTAATTTGAAACCCACCCAACACATATGATACGATCATTGGGATTTGGTGTTGGAGCAGTGCGCAGAGGGAAAAAAGTCTCAGAGAAACCGTATATTGTAAGATTAATACACACCCTCTCGTATGCACTTGCTATGAGATGACCAATTTCAGAGAAGCACATCCATTTATCCTCCGGTGTAAATCCACTCACACAAGGTACAAAAGCGTTATATATATCTTCAACTTTCTCTTTACTCTCGAACACACGTGTGTATAAATCTATATTGCCCCTTAACTCTATGATAAGAGTATCGCTAACAAGTTGGTGAGCCTCTTCCTCTTTACCGAGCAAACCCAGAAACAGCTCGAAAACCACAATTACCATCACCCCCGACATTGACGATCTGTTCAATGTACTTGTGCATAAAAACTGGCATGTGATTGATGAATGGTATTTTGGATAGAGTCAGTGTAGGAGGTGGTTTGCTAATACCTTTGAAAGCACTTTTTTGATATTTCGGAGTAGGTGAATTGGGAAACACTTTCTCAACATGTTCAAAATATGGAGGACTCCTCGTAGTTGAACTGTCACCCGGTGTCGGTTTCACCTTCTTAGGTGCCCCTTTAGTTTTTACCAGTTGAGATGGTGGTTTCAAGTTTGTGGTCTCCGGGAACGTAATCTTCCTCAATTTCTCTTTGATGTGGAGTTTGGTGGCGTCATCGACTTTCAAAAATCTTTCTTGTATCGCTTCACATTCAGTCAAGATGGAAATACTTGATTTATCGTCTTTCATTTTACCGTCATTTTTAAACTGAGTCTCTTCCAATGACTAGAGACCTCATCCATACGTATCGTGCAATCAAATTTCATCTTCTTAGATATGACACAAGTACAAGGGAGACCGTATATTTTTACAATTGTACAACCACACTTTGAGTTGTCAAAACCGATATTAAAAGCTCGTTTGGTCCATGAAAAATATAATTCAGAGCTGCCTGAGACAAATTAACGACCAAATGAGAATATAGGGTGTTGTTGTACCCCAAAATTTGCCCTCCCATTTTCACACAAGACATATCCCTAGAGGTTCTCAATTGCTCAAGGTGGACCAAGAATTGACCAGACAAATTCTCCTCCTAAGTAAATGAGCCCCCAACTAGGGTTTCAATTTTCATCAAGATGGTTGAGCTCAAAGGATCCCAAATGTTCTTCACTGTCCTAATATGTTCTCAAGATCATCCATGCCAATTTTTATGTCTTGCTCAACAAGTTTGCTCAGTCAATTACTTAAGTATTGGAAAATCAACTATGTTGGGTCAAAAGTCAACTATGACCTATATACAGTCAAACTTCAAGATTTTTGGTCAACATCAACATTTTGAAGTGATATCCATCATTTGATCAAGGGTTGATCATGATTCCTCAATAAATTCTCCTAATTCATCAAAAGTCAAAAATAGATAATTAGGGTTTCTATAGGAAAAGTCAACCAAACTTTGACCAAGCATAACTTTCTCATAATTTATCAGAAACTTACCAACCAAAGCTCATTTTGAATAGAATCCAATTCCCTACAACTTATATTCAGCCCTCAAGTCCAATAAATGTACCATTTGAAAGATACAAGTTCATACATTACAGGTCATTTTTAGAAAGTCAATAAAAGCCACTTTTTTCCAAGACCTTTAACATTAAGATAACATCTTCAAAAGCAAAATTGATCAAAATAGGGATTGAAGTAGACATCTTAGGCTTTCCAAAAAGTAATAGATCATCATAATGAGATAACAATTGAGCAAGTTATGGCTTGCTCAAGTTAGGAAAATTTGGGAAATTTCAAGAAATATGCATTGGGCAAATTTCAATTTTTAAGGCAATGGCTCAAATCCTTGAACTTCAAACATATTCCTAAGACCATAGAGGACCACTAGGACCATTTTTTCATAGTCTTGATTTTATTTGCATTTTACATTAATTTTATTTAATTAAAAATCAAATAAATCAAGATTATTGCAAAGTATATGGGCCATTATGGTTAAGGCTTGTTTTAATGCATGAAGGGGTCCCAATTTTCGTGTACATCAAGGCCAATATGTTTGCACTCATTCAAAATTCAGAAATGGACAAAATCCCATGACTTTGGCCAAGTTTACAAATGGACATTCGTGGCATTCAAAAGCTTGTGCATAACTGTTACAAACATTGCATTTTCGTGTCCCCTCATCATTCTCTATATAAACAAGCTTTTGGCAAGCATCAAACAGAGATGCATGAAGTGGAGAACCCCTGTCCAATTTGCAAAAAAAAACACTAAAGTTGTCAAACTCGAATTTCCATTTCCAGTTTGTTTCTGTCCCAAACAAGTATCAAAACATACTCCTGGAGAGCCTCTGAAGCCATTGCAAGCATTCCCAAAGCCTGAAACGTCAAGAATTGTGCCCTATAACAGTCACGGTTTGCATTTTTTTTATTTCGATTCCTTTAATTCTGGCATCATAAACATGTTTCAATTCTATATTTATGTTTGCTATCATGTATACAAGGTATTTGAATGCTTTAATTTGAGTATAGATGCAGGAATCGTACAAAGCCATTGTTAGGGTTTTAAGGTCCCAAATTGGGAACTTCGTGTAGAGGTAAAATTGGGTCAAATCGAGGGCATCCTTGTGTTCAGGGGAATGAATGCAATAGATTTATGCCCTTGGTTAGGATTTATCTTGCTTGTGCTACATTTTTGAGTTTTGTAGGTTTGTAGCTATGGACAAAAATTGTCACTATAGCCTATAGTGACGAATCTGTCCGTAGATAAAAGTCTGGTCTCTAAAGTGGCGGTTGCATGAGGAAGAAGATTAGGTGTCAAACTAAATACAAGGAATTTACCTAAATACAAGGTATAAAAAATGAATGAATGTACAAAGATGCAAAATGTAAAGAAAATGAATTTTTGTTTGGTTTTCATAAAAAGATTTTGTCTTAACCTAATTTAAAGAAAATGGTTAATTTTAAGTTTGGATTTATTTAGAAGAAAACAAATTTAAAAGAAAGCCTAGTTATATTAATCAATCAAAAAATAATAATTTAAGGAAAGTATTTTTTTGGCATTTTTTATCTTGAAAATATTTATAGTATTAAAAATATTTTTTAGTCTTTTTTTGGTATTTAAATAATATATTTTTAAATGGTGTGAAGAAAAATAAATGAATAATACAATATTAATTAATTTTATAAGGTTTACTTAAATAAATAAATAAAGTATGAAGAATAAAAATTATTTTTTATTTATGGAAAAATAAAATAAAATAAGTCAAAATATAAAATATCATTTTTTGCATTTTCATCATTTTTTAGTATTTAGAAAATATATTTGAGAAAATAAGTAAAATAAAAAAATGAAGAAATAAAATTGAATTGAGTCAGGGTGCAAATATGAAACAGGGGGGAAGGTTAGAAAAAAAGTCAG